GCCCATCACCTGCAGGCTGGCTGGCTCCAGCCCCAGTGTCCCTCCTCTTTTTTAAAAAAATAAATTTTTATTGATTTCAGAGAGGAAGGGAGAGGGAGAGAGAGAGATAGAAACATCCATAATGAGAGAGAATCATGCATCAGCTGCCTCCTGCACGCCCTCTACTGGGGATGGAGCCCACAACTCAGGCCTGTGCCCTTGACCGGAATTGAACCCGGGACCCTTCAATTCGCAGGCCGACGCTCTCTCCACTGGGCCACACCGGCTAGGGCTCCCTCCTCCTTCAGTCCCGGTTCCACCAAGGACCCGTGGGATCACAGTGCCTCCGGGACAGAATCCTGGGAGATGCTGTTTTCCCAGGCCCTGGGCCCAGCCTGGTTGGCCAGTTTGCTCTGGGCTCTGAAGGTCTTGGCTGACGAGCCACTCATTCCTGCCTTTTGACCTGGAATGACTGTCGAGAGTTGGGGGGGGGCAGGCGGAGACGTGAAGTCACAGCTCTGCGGGGGATGTGCACAGTCCAGGAGCCATCCCCCACCACCACCACCTGGGCCAGGGCCCCAAGTCTCTGCTCACTGGTCAGACCTCATCTCTTCTAAGGCAACCACCGTCTTCTCCTCATAGTCCCTCCTCCCCTCCTCCCACCGACTGCTGCTCCCTGTCCTGGCAAAACGGTACTGCGATCGGAATCAGGGTTTCGGTGTTGGTGACACTGCTGATGCTATTGACCATGTAGGGTTTCCCACTGGAAATTCGCCCCGACCGAGTTCTGGCCCCGACCGACCGACCATCCGACCGTCCGAGTCTCGTTGCATCCTAATTCTCCTCCCTGTTACTCCTTCTCCTTCTGTCTCCGGGGCGCTCAGCGTTAAAGGGCAAGTCGCCCCCGGCATTTCCGCTCCCCGTTTCCTCCGTCTTGACGTCCCATTTCTTTTGTATTTCTAGTTTGCAGCTCCCTCGTCCCTTTAGGACAGCGGTTCTCAACCTTCCTCATGCAGCGACCCTTTGATACAGTTCCCCATGTCGTGGTGACCCCCAACCATAAAATTATTTTCGTTGCTGCTTCATCACTGTAATGTTGCTACTGTTATGAATCGTCATGTAAATATCTGATAGGCAGGATGTATTTTCATTGTTATAAATTGAACATGATGAAAGCATAGTGATGAATCACAAAAACAATATGTCATCATATATGTGTTTTCCGATGGTCTTAGGCGACCCCTGTGAAAGGGTCGTTCGACCCCCAAAGGGGTCGCGGCCCACAGGTTGAGAACCGCTGCTTTAGGAGGCCCATGGGGTTTGAAGCTTTGGTAACACTCAGTATCAGGATTGCTTCTATTTTTATTATTTTAAGTGAAAATCCCGCCCCTCCCTCCCGGGTCTTTGATTTGGCAGGTGAGGCAGGACAAGGTGCTGTTGCATCAGTTTGCGGGGACGGGAATGGAAGGGAGGGTGTGCGTTCTGCTTGATTTGACTCCAGGGAACTTGGCTGTGTCTCACAACCGTGTAAACTCACGGTTTACACGCTGAGTTCATCCGGTTTAAGGCGTCCTCCGGGTCTGGCGATGAGGCTCCTGTATCGGACCGGTGCGATGTTCCAGGCGTTCCACACCCTTCCTCTAATCCCCTCGCGGCTCAGCGTTCTGGATAACGCCACTGAGAATTAGATGGGTCGTTTCTAAAGTTTTAGAAGCTGAATTTGAGTCTAGTCCTTTCTGGTTTTGTGGGTTTTTTTAATGCAACGAAAACAACGCAAGCTTCGTAGCCTATCCGAGCCCTGTTCCAATTTTTTATTGATTGATTTCAGAGAGGACGGGAGAGGGAGAGAGAAGCTAGAAACCTCAATGATGAGAATCATGGATCGGCCGCCTCCTGCACGCCCCCCACTGGGGATTGAGCCCGCAACCCGGGCCTGTGCCCTTGACCAGAATCGAACCGGGGACCTTTTGTTCCGCAGGCCGAGGCTCTAGCCACTGAGCCAAGAGCCAAACCGGCCAGGGCTAGTCCTTTCTAGTTTCAAAGCCAGTGGATGCACGACTGTTTGACTCACAGGGAGAAAGGAACAGGACACAGGCTCTTCAGAACTCTGAGCATTAAAAACAAAACGACAGCCGTCAGAATCTCAGAGAGTGTAGTGTGCCGTGGAGGTGAGACGGGCAGCAGCTGGGACGAGCCCCGTGGAGTCTGCGCATCTTGGCGTGCTCCCCGCGTTCCAGACTCGGGGTCTGCGGGAGGAAGAGGACCCGGGACTGCTCGCCAGGAACTGTGGGATCCTGGGAAACTCAGGCGATTTCTTTTCCTTGCTTTCATTTCTTTTTTTTAATTCTTTATTTTTGGAAGTATTACATAAATCCCCTTTTTCCCCCATGGACCGCTTCCAGCCTGCCCTGCCCCATTGTCTGTGTCCATGGGTTACGCATATATGCATACCAAGGTCCTTGGTTGATTACCTCTCACCCACGCTCCCCCACCTACCCCCTGAGACTCCCCACTCTGTTTCAGGCGATTTCTTGGGCCTTTGTTTCCTCTGCTGTCAATTGGATGCCTCGGAACTGCTGAGGCTGTTGTGTGGCACACAGTAGGTCCTCACGTTTTATTGAGGACCTACTGTGTGCCGGACCCTCCTAGCCCCGTCCTCGTAGCAGGTTAGCTTATGTAGTTCTGGCTGCATCACCGTGGGCGGGAGGCCTGATTCCTGTCGGCTGTGAGCGCCAGGGAAGGAATTGAAATTCGACTCCAGAGCCTGAGTCCATTGTAGCCGGTCACCTTCCCCCCAGACTTTCCCATGATGACCCGACGAGGGACAGTGTGTGGGCGGGAGGAGCAACCTTTGGAAACAAATATTAGTGTAAGCGTATGGTTTTCTGAAGCTGAAGAAGAGAAGATAAGCGAGAGGAAACATTTTAACTGGCGGCGCCCAGTGACTGGTGACCCCACGGTGGCGGGCATGTTGTATACATGCCTGTGGTTTAGCTGTTCTCCCTCCCCGGCTGGGCCCTGGGGCAGTCCGCCCAGCCCAGCACCGGCCTGGCATGTGGGCAGCGCATGGATCTGGGCCAGTTGCCCCGGGCTCTTATTTTATTTTTTTCTCTGAACAAGTTTTATTACACAGAGGGGATGGGGCTCCGTCCTTCTCTGCTGCTGCCTTCCTCACGGCTGCGGGGGCGTCGCTCAGCTCCTCTCTTGGCACCGATGTGTGTCCCCACCCTGTTCTTGATGAACTTCAGGGCCCTCTTGTCCTTCGCGACCTTGAGCAGCCCCATGGCACGCCGCTCATAGGGGGCAAAGCTCCACACCTCCCAGATCCTGTCCCACGTGAACTCGGGGTGCTTGGTGAGATGCACGAAGTTTGTGCAAAGGGCTCGGCCCTCACAGCCCGGCTTCTGTCCCGAAGGTCGTTCGGCTGTCCGGCCTAATTAGCATATTATGCTTTTATTATTATAGATTTTTTTTTTATTGATTTCAGAGAGGAAGGGAGAAAGGGAGAGAGAGAGATAAGAGACATCAAGGATGAGCAAGAATCATCCATCGGCTGCCTCCTGCACGCCCCACCCTGGGGATCGAGTCTGCAACTCAGGCATGTGCCCCGACCGGGAATCGAACCCTGACCTCCTGGTTCTCAGGTCGCCGCTCAACCCCTGAGTCAGGGCCGCCGGGCTTCCCTTTACGTTTTAAAAAGCCCCAAAGCCGCCAGTGGTCAGCTCATGCACATCACACCGCACTCAGGAGGGAATGGCCCTTGACCAGCCCGCACAGCTGGCGGGGTCTGCCCTGCCGGGAGGGGGCGGGGATCTTCGTGCTGCAGACCATCCTGCGAACACCCGCCCGGGGAGACGGCCGGCCGCCTGCACTGGGCTCCCAGAGGCCTGAGTGGACGAGTGACCAGCCGCGGGGTAGTTCCGACTTGGGTTGTAGACAGAAAGCTTTTAGCTGCCGCTGTGTTCACGGGAGTCAGATTCCCAGCGATGGGAGAAGCTCGCCAGCTCTGTGCTCAGGCACTTGCTGTTTACTCTGATTTCGTGTTGATAGGGTCAGTGGTTTGGGCAGACGGCTTGGATAAATCCTGCCAGAGCTTGTGTCTTATTCCGGGTTCGCAGCAAGCCCTTCACGTGCAGATGCGTCCCGTTGGCGGTCCTATTAGAGGAGAGCCCTAGGAGGGCTCCGGGGGTCCTGGCCCTCCCTCCGCTGTTACTCGGTGGAATTAAACAAATCATCTCATCGCCTCTGAGGAGGGCCCTGAGGACATGGTGGTCTGAGGGCGTCCTTGAAGCCATCGAAGATGTCTGCAGAGCTGCCCTGATGTTAATGGCTTTAATTGAAGCACATTAAATTCTTTTCTTTAATCCACTTTCCCTACTCCCTTCCCCAACTCCCACAGACCCTGAAACCCCTGGAATTGTGCAGAGTATTTCTGTCCCATAGATACACAATCCTATGTAATAAAAGCCTAATATGCTAAGTGTCTGGTGGTCCAGTCAGCCATTCAACCAATCAGAGTGAATATGCTAATGATATGCTAAGGCCGCTCAACCGCTCGCTATGACGTGCACTGACCACCAGGGGGCAGACACTCCGATTGATAGGTTAGCTTGCTGCTGGGGTCCAGCCGATCAGGACTGAGCAGGACAGCCGGACACATCTGGGACCCCTTGGGGGATGTCGGAGAGCCGGTTTCGGCCCGATCCCGCAGGCCAGGCCGAGGAACCCCACTGGTGCACGAATTCGTGCATCGGGCCTCTAGGACGATTATAAAATGAAGGGAGAACTGCAAATCCTCTCTTAGACCAGCTATTCCCACACTTTCTCCCCTTGCACCTCTACCCGCGGAGAGGTTGTCGGGGTGCAGGTCCCGGAGATGGAGGAGGTGAGATGGAGCGCGTCTCATGATCGCGTCCCCAGGGCCATGGGCCTCCGGGGACTCCGTGTGTGTGTGTGGGCCTGGAGGACGGAGTTGTGCTTGAGGAACCCGTGACTCACTGGGTGTGTCTGTGTTCCCCCAGGAGGACTGGAATGACATTGACCCGGTTAAGAAGAAAGACCTGCACCACAGCAACATGGAAGAGAGAGGACAGAGCGTGGAGACCCTCCCTCCAGGTACGGCCGCACCGGGGCCAGGCCAGCCTCCGGCGGGCGGCTGGGGGTCGGGAAGTCCTTTTGCCACCAGCTGGGAATGAGCCGGAGGTGACATGGGAGCACGGGGCCTGTGGGGTGGAGACTGGGCTTCACGGGGCAGGCGGACAGACGCGGAGAGCAGGGGCTTGCCGACTTCCTTCGGGCCCGTCCGTGGGCGGTGAGGTGCGTCTGCGGGGAGGTGACCAAAATCTGTTGAAAGGAAAAGTAGAATGAAATAGAAAACATAGGATGGTATGTACCAAGTCACAACGTTTTAAAATCTATATTTTTATTGATTTCAGAGAGGAAGGGAGAGGGAGAGAGAGAGAGAAACATCCGTGATGAGAGAGAATCATGGATCGGCTGCCTCCTGCACGCCCCCCACTGGGGATGGAGCCCGCCACCCAGGCAAGTGCCCTTGACCGGGAATCGAATCCTGACCTCCTGGCTCCTAGGTCGAGGCTCAACCACTGAGCCATGCTGGCGCCTGGCCGACAACGACATTTAGACACGGTCACACACAGAGGAAAACGCAGCGCTTCTCTTTAAACTTTAGAAAGGAAAGGGCTGGCTACTCCGTGATTTCAAGCCAGGTGTGCACCTCGCAGTGCAAACCAGCCCGTGTCATGGTGTTCTTTTAAGTTATTTTGATGGCAGAAATAATTATATATATATATATATATATATATATATATATATATATATATATATATATACTGAGCATATTTAACCCATAACATCCGATTTTTATTTTCTTATATTTTCTATTAAATAGTTTTTAGCCCCTTTTTGAATTTTCTATTTTTTTTTTTTTTTCATCCTTAAAAATGAACTGTGGCCCTGGCCGGTTTGCCTCAATGGTTAGAGCGTCAGCCCTCAGATCGAAGGGTCTCAGGTTCGATTCCCAGTCGAGGGCATGTACCTCGGTTGCAGGCTCGATCCCCTGCCGCGGTCAGGGTACGTGTGCGAGGCAACCAATAGGTGTGACTCTCTCGCATCAATGTTTCTCTCTCTCGTCCCCTCCTCCCTCCCTTTCACTCTCTCTAAAAATCAATGGAAAAATGGCCTCAGGTGACAAAAAAAAAAAAGAATTGGGCAGGATCCTTCTTTCAGAAGACAGTTTCTCACGGGTGAGCAAAGTTCTCCCTATCTCGCCAGATATCCCGTGACACATAACGAAATGCTCTTTGCGGGCCCCCGTCATTTAAATGGATATATTTGTTTGTCACCCTGGCGTCTCTTTCATGCTGTCGCGTAATGACCTTTTAGAGGGAGAATATCGGGGATTATTTTTTCCCTTTTAAGCATAGTGAAATGGCATTCAACTGGCCGCCGACCAGGAGGCCATAAATAAATCTGAGAGCTTTGTCCTTTGATTTAAAATATATTCTCTTTCCCTTCTTGGCCACTTTCCCAGAAGCGGCTGCTTCTTGTCCACAGGGTTTGCAGTTCATTAAGCCCGTCTTCCCCGGAGGGTTGGAGGGAAGACTTGTAGCTCAGTCGGGAGGCCAGTGCAGAATCGAGAGTCTTCTGCTGTCCCGGCCCCGTGGGACCCGCCCCGGCAAAGGCATTCCCTGCCCTGGTCCACCTGCGGGCGGTGGCAGGTGTATGCCCAGAGGTCTCTGGAGGGGGCATCCGTCAGCGCCCGAGAGGTCTCCAATCTGAGACTCACGTGTGTGACTCTGAGCACTTGCGTGTCCACGTGTTCTGTGGTGTTAATCCTTGGAAGGTTTGTTTTCATAGATTTGCATCATTGTTCCTTTATTTGTTTTTAAAATATATTTGTATTGTTGTCAGAGAGGCAGGGAGAGGAGGGTGAGAGAGAGAGAAACATCCATGATGAGAGAGAATCACGGATCGGGTGCCTCCCGCACGCCCCGCACTGGGGATGGAGCCCGCCACCCGGGCCTGTGCCCTGACCGGGAATCGAACCCTGACCTCCTGGTTCCTAGGCTGATGCTCAGCCACTGAGCCACGCCGGCCGGGCTGGGCGCTAATCCTGGATGTGGCACTGCCCCCGGGGTGCGCCCTCCCGCTGGTCTCCGTGCCCCGTCCCACGCCCTCTGCTCTGCTCTGCTCCTCACAGGCAAAGTGCGGTGGCGAGACTTCAACCAGGAAGCGTACGTCGGGGGGACCATGGTCCGCTCCGGGCAGGACCCCTACGCCCGCAACAAGTTCAACCAAGTGGAGAGCGACAAGCTGCGGATGGACAGGGCCATCCCCGACACCAGGCATGACCAGTGAGTACCAAGCGGCTGTGGCCTGGCCTGGGCCGCCTGCTCCCCGCGGCCCCACCCGGGCAGTGGCTGTCCCTGCGGCGATGCTCACCGTGGCGGCCGCCCTGGGAAACGGAACACGGCGGTGTCTTCGCTGGGCGGTCAGCGTGGACCGACTCGGAGGCGCGTGGCAGTGGACCTGCCCCCGCAGGAGCGAGGACCCGGGTGGGGCCGGGTTCTAGTCCAGGTGCCCGTGGCCGGACCTGGAGGCTGGGTTGCTGGCCGGCACGTGGGAACCGGCAGTGTGTTAAAATACACTCACAAGAAAAGCATAATTTTCCATTCTTTTTTTTTTTTTTTTAAATATGTATTGTATTGAATTCAGAGAGGAAGGGAGAGGGAGGGAGAGGCATCCATGATGAGAGAGAATCATGGATCGGCTGCCTCTTGCACGCCCCCTACTGGGGATAGAGCCCCCAACTCAGGCATGTGCTCTTGGCTGGAAATCGAACCCAGGACCCTTCAGTCCTTGAGGCTGATGCTCTATCCACAGAGCCACACCATCTAGAGCAGTGATGGTGAACCTTTTGAGCTTGGCGTGTCAGCGTTTTGAAAAACCCTAACTTCACTCTGGTGCCGTGTCACATATAGAAAATTTTTGATATTTGCAGCCATAGTAAAACAAAAATAGAAATTTTTGATATTTATTTTATATATTTAAATGCCATTTAACAAAGAAAAATCAACCCCCAAAAAATGAGTTCGTGTGTCACCTCTGTAATTGTCCATTCTTCGCAGCCCTGTGGGAAGGAAAAAAAACGTAAATTCTTGCTTATTGGGACAGTTCGCGTTGGAAAAGGTCTAGAGCAGTGGTTCTCAACCTGTGGGTCGCGAGCCCTTTGGGGGTCGAACGACCCTTTCACAGGGGTCGCCTAAGACCATCGGAAAACACATCTATAATGACATATTGTTTTTGTGATTCATCACTGTGCTTTCATGATGTTCAATTTGTCACAATGACATTGGGGGTCGCCACAACATGAGGAACTGTATGAAAGGGTCGCGGCCTTGGGAAGGTTGAGAACCACTGGTCTACAGACTAGCAGGGCAGCAAAGAGCCCAGACCGGGAGACACACACTCTCTCTGTCACCAGCCTGTGGTCTGACGGGAGCCGCTCTTGTCCGCGTCCCTCGCTGGGGATCGGGCACCTGCGGGTGGAGGGCACCCGGGTTTCGCAGACTCAGCTCGCGAGGTCTCCAGGCATCTGTCCCGAGCTGTGTCACCGCGGGAAAATGCTACCCTCTCTCTGCCTCTGAGTCTTGCTGGTTGGGATCTTCGCCCGGGAGACGGTTCCCCGGGCCCTTAGCCGGCCGGTCGTGGTCAGGGGAGGAGCCACACGGGGGCCTGACAGGTGCCTGGGCGCTCAGGAGGCCTGGGTGCTCGCCAGTTCCTGTGAGAGCCTCTCGCCATCACGGAGGGGAGCGAGGGGTACGTCTGCTGAGGCTCAGGGGCCATGCGTGGGTCCTGGGGTTCCAGTCCCCGCGGGTCCCAGGTGCGTGCATCCCCACCACCCTCCCCCCCAGGGCACGTGGCACCCGGACTGTGCCACACCCTCCCCCACACCCCACCCCCCGGCCCGTTCACGCCGCCCTCACATGCTGCTGGGCACGGAGGGCGTCCCCATTGCACGGAGAGGGACCCGAAGTCCTGCGATGGCCACAGCGTGCCCGGTGGTGAGGAGCAGTGACCTAGAGCTGAAAGGGTCCGTGTGGGTGTGGAGAGGGGCTTGGCCCAAACTCAGGAGGGGGGTGAAGTCCCAGCCGAATGGGGCGCAGAAACCCTGCCTGGGGCCGGGCTCCACGGCCTCCCTGAGATGGTGTGAGCCTCGTTTCTCCGTTCGGTGTAAGGGCTGGCGTCCCTGCTGTGGCTTGTCCGGTGAGAGCTGAGAGCAGACCGCCTGCTGTCTGACGGCTCGTCGGGCTTGCTCTCTCGCAAGTCCCTTCAAAGTTCCCAAAACTATACATATGTAATTTTTTTTTCAGTGTTTGAAATAGGGAGTTTATCCAAGCAGATGTTTGAACAGTCCTCCCCTAGTGGGGTGCGTTTGAGGTGGGTTTAATTTTAGTGCCAGCTACTGCCGGTGCATTTGCATGTGTTAAAGGAGCAGCTGGGACGCCTTCCGTTTGTGTGTGGGGCTGAGGCCAGATTAAAGCCCCCCCCACCCCCCCAGAGTCGGTTGGCTGCCAGGGAGTCCTGTCCTCAGAGTGTAAGCCCTAGAACCCCATTCTTTTTAAAACTATAGATATATCTACTTTATCATTATTATTAATATTATTATTATTGATTTCAGAGAGGGAGAGAGAGGGAGAGAGAGACAGAAACATCAATGATGAGAGACAATCACGGATCGGCCGCCTCCTGCACGCCCCACACTGGGGACCAAGCCCGCAACCCTGGAATGTGCCCTTGACTGGAATCGAACCCAGGACCCTTTAGTCCGCAGGCCGACGCTCTGTCCACTGAGCCACACCAGCTAGGGCCTCTCTGTTTTATATATATATTTTTTTTAATTTTTTTTTTTTTTTTTTTACAAAATTCCAACTTGAGGGCCGGCATTTCAGTCCTGGGCTGCGCTGCGGAGTCTCGCCAAAATGGCAGGGTTGACGTCAACTGTTTGAAAAGAGGGGCTCATCAGGATTAAGGGCTGTGGGGAAAGACACGGCCAGCTTCTCCTCGGGCCTCGGGGAGAATAAACATTGCTGAAGCCAAGAAAAAGTTAACATAAACGCAGCCCCGCGGAGGGACGCCTCGGCGGAGGCAGCGATTATGGGGCTCGGAGTCTTATGTTTAGGGGAGCGGAATCGGGGAAAACAGCAGACGCAGGCCCTGGCCAGGGTGGCTCAGTGGATAGAGTGTCGGCCCACACACTGAAGGGTCCCGGGTTCGATGCTGGTCAAGGGCACGTACCTCTGTTGCAGGCTCGACCCCCAGCCCTGGGCAGGGCTGGTGCAGGAGGAGGCAACCCGTCGATGTGTCTCTCTCACATCGATGTTTCTCTCGCTATCTCTCCCCCTCCCTTCCAGTCTTTCTAAAAAAGTCCACGGAAAAATATCCCCGAGTGAGGATTAACAAAGAGACGTAAAGAAACTCCGCTGGCTTGGGAGGGGGTTTCTGCTCTGCGTTAGTGGGCGCCAAGAGGGGTCTCATTTCGGGGGGGCTGGGGCCTTATTCTCACTTCTCATTTTGCTAAGGAAAGCGGTGTCTTCTACACGTGCACAGCCCGCCCCCCCTTGTCCCTCGGCCACTGGGTGGCGCTGAAGCAGATGGATGCCCGGCCTCTGTGCCCTGCAGGTACTGGCGGTGTCTCTGGGTTAAACACCAGCATCCGGCTGTTTTGTGTTCCTCTTCCTGTCCTTTTGTGCCTCTTTTTTGGATTAAACATTGCCTCTCGCCCTAACTGGTCTGGCTCAGTGGATAGAGCGTCGGCCTGCAGTCTGAAGGGTCCCGGGTTCGATTCCGGTCACGGGCACATGCCTGGGTTGCGGGCTCGATCACCCCAGTAGAGGGCATGCAGGAGGCAGCGAATCAGTGATTCTCTCTCATCATGGATATTTCTCTCTCTCCCTCTCTCTTCCTCTCTGAAATAAATTAAAATATATTAAAAAATAAATAATAAATACTGCCCCTCTATCAGCTCGTTGCATTCCTGGCTTATCAGAGCCCAAGATCAGTGAGCACTTATGCTGTTTCCCGCACAGCGGGCAGACCCAGCACTCCGCCCTCCGCCCGCACTCCTCCGCCCTCATGCTCGTGCGTCCCTCGGTTGACGTGTAAGCTCCACGGGACCGCGTTCTCTGTCTCAGGCCGTCAGTGGGTTCGGGTCTGTCCACATGTGTATGTTTCCGTGTCCCGCCTGCGATTGCTTTCCCAGTTCGCCGTCTGCGCACGTCTGCGTCTCTCTCTCTCTCTCTCTCTCAGTGCCGTTTGCCGGCGGCGAATTCAGTCTTCTTTTTTTTCTCTCCGTCTGAAAACATCTTTATTTCGTGTTCACTCTTGAAGGGTCCTGTCCCTGAGTGAGGCGCCGGGGCTGACGGCGACCTGGCACTCCTCACTGTCGCCCCGCTGTCTTCGCTTCCCCCGCTCCGGTGAAATATCAGCCTGATCTTACTGTTGCCGTGTGGCGGCACTTTGATTTTTTTTCCTTGAAGATGTGTCTCTTTCCCTCTGGTTTCCAGCCGCGTGTCGACAACGTGCCTGGGTTTTTTTTTATGGATATGGAAGCTGTTTGGGGTTTTTGCAGGAGTTTCTGAGTCCGTTTAGCTTGGGCCCTGTTTTATCTCTCCTCTCCCTTTGGGCCCCTAATTGCAACTTCATCAGGGGTGTCCCCGGGTCCCCCTGTCCCTCTCATGCTCTCTTCTGTGTTTTCAATGTATTGGTTATTCCCCGGGCTACAATCTAGATGCAATTCTACTGGCCTTGCTTCTGTCCCCAGACCTGCTCCTCTATCTTGAATATATCTATTCTGCTTTTCAATCCACCTATGGAACTCTTTATTTCTGTTATATCTCACTGTGAATGAACAAATAGAGGGTGTTTCCCCCCTCCCCCCCCCAAAAAATGTATACACACACTTTGAATAATGATAAGGGCGGTGTTGATTAAGATACACGTCATTGTCAAAATCGAGCTGTCCGCTGTGGCCGTGCGTGTGCGCTTTGTCGGGGACACGCCGTCGAGCGAGATTTAAAGGCTCGAGCTGATAGTCTCATCCCCTTCTCCCTCTCGTCGGAATTTAATGCTTACTTTATGTTGATTAAAGTGGTTTCTGAGTGCGGCGTTAGGATCTTTATCTCCAAACCCACTTTGAAATTACCAAGATATTGCTCTGTCTCATTCGTCTGGAATTGCGCTTTTGGTTTCCTTTTTAATACTATGTTTATGTAGAAGAAAGTTGCAAAATGGCAGGAAATTGATTTTTTTTTTCACTTGTCTAAACTTCAGGGTTTGTTTTTTTTTTTTCTTT